CACCCACCCTGCAGATATTTGTAGGCATTTCTAAGGTGCCCTCGCAGCCCTCTCCTCTCCAGGCTGAACAAGCCCAGCTCCCTCAGCCTCTGCTCATAGGAGAGATGCTCCAGTCCCCTCATTATCCTCGTAGCCCTCCACTGGACTCTCTCCAGTAGCTCCTCATCTTTCTCGAGCTGGGGAGCACAGAACTGGACACAGCACTGCAGATGGGGCCTCACCAGGGCAGAGCAGAGGGGGAGGAGAAACGCCCTGGCTTGTCTCAGCACTTCGACTGGGCATGATGCTCTGTGAAGATCCCACCACGAGGTCCCCAGGTACCATGGGGCTCAGCAGACACACGGACACCCTCCAGCCAAGGACACGGACAAGGGCTGGGACAGCCAGCAAAGCCCAAGGCTCCATGAGCAGCACAGAGGTGTCCTCTGCGGAGACCATCCCCACGGCACCACGCAGACGGGATGCCCAGCAGCTCTCCCTCTATCTCAGTGCCTCGCTGACAAATGAACCTGGCTGCAGATTTCAGACCGGTATTCCCAGATAACAATTAGACAGGCCATAAGAAATTAGAGCTGACAGAGCTATTTGTTAGCCACAATGTTTTCATAGCCAATCTGCCCATATCAAAGCCCCGTGAATTATTTATTCTGTTGTTTATTTAAGGATACATGACCTGCCAGTGACAGAGTGAAAAACGGCCCCTCGGTCCTGCGCTGACAGCCCCACCATGCCTCCTTCCCCCGGCACTGACGCCGTGCCCGGCTCCTCGCCTTGGCACACCTCGGCAGCGTGCTGCCAGCCCCACTCGCTCCGAGCTCCCGTATTCCCCATGCGAGACACATCGGAGCCGGAGACGCGGCAGACGGGAGCCTCGGCTCCCCCCGCCCCGCCTCGGCTCTCCCTGCTCCCGGCACGTACGCTCCTCAGAGGCTCCTGCTGCGAGGCCCGCGGGGGAGAAGGATGCTCAGCGCAGCGGAGAGCATATGGCAATGTTTGGGTGCAGGTCGCAGACGAGGTGCTCGCTGCATCCGGGCCTCCAAGCCCTGCTGCAAAGGGAGCGTGTGGCTGGAGGGAGACCAGGTCACACACGCCAATGCTCCCGCAGCATCACAGCCTGTGACACCAACGCCATGGGGAGCGTGGCACCAGGACACGGCTTGCATGGTCCCAGCATGCCCTTACCATGGGGAGCCCACAGATACCCCCAGCCTTGCATGGAGCATCTCTTGCACAGACAAAACGGGGGTGACAGAGGGACCCCCACCCACTGCCACGTAGGGATACGACCGCAGACCACGCAGATCTGTGACAGAGGCTGACAAAAGCCACCTCCAGTACGGGTCTGAGCGTGTAGCTGCCCTTCACAACACAGACAGGTAGATGAAAGAGCCGGTTATGCAGACAGACTGCCTACGGAGAGACATCGCGTACAGAGCTGCTGCCAGCAAGAGCCATTACGCAGAGTGATGTGGTTATGGAGGTTATACGGAGATGCCAAGGGATATTAAATAGCTCAGGCTGGGAAGAGAGCAAGCGTGGGATTATAAAGGCAATTATGGCTTTCCCTGGAAATGCTAGTTGGTCTCCATCCCACTGACACTGGAACCCAGAAACTCTGCTGGTGTATGAACGTTTGTATTTCCGCGGGGTTTTCTTCAGATTTAGCCCAGATGGGATTTCCCCTCTCGAAGGGCCCCAGCAGCCATGGTTCCAATCACTCCTTCCTCCTACAAGGCTCTGTTTTTGGAAACCCAAACGCAGAACAGGCACGTACCCACTTCCCCAGCATTTCCCGAGCCCCTACCCCCTCTTCCCAGTGGATACTGGTGACTGTCCCTGTGTCACCCTTAGCTCCAGCCTGGCCCCTGGGCACAGCCCACAGGCAGACAGCGAAGACCTTTCCCCATCAGCCACACCAGAGCCTTCCGGCAGCAGCTCCGGGCACCCAGGCTGGGCTGACATTAGGGTCCTTCTCCGGGTGTTCGAGCAGATTTTCATGTGCCCCAGTCAGGATCTCACCCAGCAGCAGCATGAGTGTGTCTGCAGCCTTATTTCCCCCTGGCACCCACCCATCAGCACTTCCCGTGGGATAATGGAAACAGGCCCGTGGAGGGATGGGAGCGCCGGGAGCGATCCCAATCAGGGGAGGCAGGACACGTCCTGTCTCAGCTGCGTGGCTGTGGTGATGGAAAACGGCGTTTCTTGGGTGGGAATAAATTAACAAAAGGGAAATCTCCCCTGCCTGCAGACAGGAGATGATGCTGTCCCCTCGCCAAGAGCCAGGAATCCCTGCTCGTATCCCAGCTGGAGCGCCGGCACCCGGAGCACACCTCCCTCCTCGGGGTGGCTTTGGGCACAGCAGGGAGCAGAGTGGCTCCAGCCCACGGGCTGCAGCCCTTCCCACGCCACCCTCGCTCCTTGGGGATGGTGGGCCAGGTCATGGGGCAGGAAGGAGCTGAGATGTCCTTTTGTCAAGCATTGCTTGTGCCCATGGAGGACAACATGGCTACGGCCCACCGGCGAGCCAGGGCTTTGGGCTTCTCAGCACCACGTCGGTCCCTGGCAGGACCAGCTCCCCAACCCTGCACGTTATCTTGTGTTTCCAGGTTTTTTTACCTTGTGTTTCCAGATTTTCACAGAGCTCTGATTTGGCCTCTCCATTGGGGCGGAAACCTCCCTTCTGAGAGAACTTGTTGGACATGGTGGCTGCCGTCACCACCGCCTTGAGGCTCCGCTTGCGCTTGGGGACGTTCTGCTCCGGGTGGAAGAGGATGATGTACACCTTGGGCATGTAGAGCATGCCCAGCGACACCGAGGCACTCAGACTCACCGAGATGGTGAGCGTCGTCGGGGTCTGGAGGTACATCTGCAAGACACAAGGGCACGAGCTGAGACCCACCACAGCTCTACAGGATCCAGAAAGGGTCACAGCTGGGAAAGGAGGAGAGGAAACAGGGGAAGGTGGAAACGCTGGGGTTAAATAGATGAAGGGGTGGGGAGCCAGGGTTGGAAACGTTGGCAGTGTTGGATCTTAAACATCAGACTCAACTTGTTGCATGGGCCAAGGTGCACCCAGTGAGGCCTCCAGCTCCCTTCTGCTGCTTCCCTACCTGCAAACACGGGGAGGCTGTGCCAGTGTCCCAACCCGCGTTTCAGGGCCAAGCCTTCCCAGGACCCATGCATGCTCTGGCAGCAACCTGCCAGCACCCCAGCTCAAAACCATCACGTGTGATGGTGCCCCCAAGCCCTCTTCACCCTCCCTCTCTCCTCCCCAGTACCCACAGCATGCTCCATCAGCCGCAGAGCACCATTCTGATGCTGCAGTGATGGGCACACCGAGGACACCCACGCCCGTCCTGGGGCACCCCCTGCTCCCCCCCTCCCTTCAACAGGTAATTCCCTTTCCCCAGCTGGCTCCCCGGGCCGTTGTCATGTAAGTCACATATTACACACCGACATTGCCTTTCTTCAGTCAAAACTAATTTCACGCTCACTGTCCAGGACTAACAGTGACAGATGTTTTGCAAAATGAAAGCCCATTAATCTGACTGCAGAATAATCTATTTTTCTATGGAAAGCGTTTGGCGGGTTCCTCGCAAGCCAGGGGCATCTGAAGCAGGCAGCAACGGGAAGCGAAGAGACCCCCTCCCTCCGCCCATGCCCACCTCTCGCCCCTGAGCAACACGGGAGGCTGGGTGGGTGAGTTCCTCTGTGAGCATCCCTGCTCCGTCAGCATCCCTGCTCCCGGCACAGGGCTCTGTCCTCTCCACCATCCTCTCCCCTACCGCGTAGCTCACGTGTTGGGTCTCTCCATGCTGAGCAGGAGAGGGCTCCGGGTCTTCCGGTGCCTTTGCACGCAGCTCTGTTTCTTTTCCAGCTGTGCTCAGACACCAGGGCTGTTTTGCATGTTGCTAACAAGGTTTTAGAATGAGGCTTAAGGGAGTTTCTGAACTTTATCCCCCTGCTCAGTCACAGCACAGTGTCAGGGATTTCTTCTGCAGTGTTTTCACAGCCGGGATTTAGTGCCGGGCAAGGTGGCAGGACCTGGAGGAGCCCGGGTACTGCAGCATCAGCGAGGGCCGGGGGTCCCCACCTCCACAGCTGCACACGCTTAACCCGGGGGCTCCTTTTCTGGAGTCAATAGAGCAAAAAGGTGATGGAGGACAGAAGCTGAGCACAGAGGCTCTACACGGCTCGCAGGGAAGACAGTGCATGGAGGCAGCTCCATCCCACAAGCGAGAGCTGTCGGGGCTGTCGTCCCACCCCAGGACCTGCAGCTCCCAGGTGTGACCAGGCAAGGAAAACAAACCCACAGGCCCAAAGCATTCCAATGCAAGCCAAAAGAAAAAAAAAAGCAACAAAGCCTGCTCTGACTCAACCAAAAAGTTTCGTTTGTCCCCAGAATAAAACCTCTTGCTGTCACATGCGCTGGTTTGTTTGTTCCACCTTCTCTCTTTATGCACACAGAGTCAATTCTCGGCAGTTTTTGGAAATAAAAATGTCATTTCATCAAGGAAAGTCAAAACATATCTCTGTGCCAGAATATCTGCTCTTTTTTTTTTTTTCTTCCTTTTTATTTTTGCACTGAAACTCACCAGACTTTGCTGCAGATGTCCTGGACTTGCTGGGAATGAGGGCAGCACTGGGATGCCAACTCCCAGACCCCAACCCCTGACCCAGGGACCGGCACAGCTCTACTCGGCACCGGCATGACACCCCACGGGACACGGCTGAGGCTCCGCAGCCCATCACCTCCCCGGCTCCCCCGCCTACCCGCCCTCCCGCTCCTCGGCAGATCGGAGGAGCCTCCCTTCGCAATCCAGAAATTTCCATATTTCCTGCCTCTGCAGCGACTCCCACCCGTGCCTTGGGACTCGGAGGCGTTTCGGCGAGGAGGGAGAGAGCAGCTGAGCTTGAGCTCAGACAAGACGTCTCCATGCACGCTTCCCCCTATGCGCTTGGGGCTCGGGGCGCTGCCAGGGACTCCCCTCCGCTGAGACCCCCGCTGGCACCCAGCTCCAGGCTCCCCATCTGCCCCCACCTCTTAGCCCTCCTCAAACCTCTGCAGCACTTTTTGGGGTCTCACGGGGCCACTATGTCTACCTTCACGCTAATGATGCATTTGCCAGAAACAGTCCTGTTTTCTGCAGCCCGCGCTAACCCCAACAGCTTTGCAGCACGCCGCAGCAAGCCCTTTCTCAGCTCAAGCCCCTTTTCAGCTCAGTGAGAAATATTTCTAGCCTGGAGTCTAAACACAGCCATGAAGCGCAGCACAGTTAACCTCTCACCACCTCAAAAAATGACCATTTCTCACGATTTTGATTCCTACTCTCTTCATTGGTTTCCAAGCCAGGACCCCACTTTGCCCCTCCGTTAACAACACTTGAGGTTCTTCCAGAGCACTCGGAGGCGTGCGCTGCAGTTATCAAAGAAGTTACAGCTCCCCGTTCAGCAGCATCCGCTGCTTCGTGGCCAGGATCAAAGCACACAGCCTGTCTCCGGCTCAGGACGACGACGCTGCATCGAGGGACCGCAGCAACCCTAAATGACCCAGCACAAGTCTCCAAGCCCGGCGCTGCGCTCAGCCTTTGCTCCAGGGCTGGATGAACCCCGAGGGGAGCAGCCCAGGCTCAACGTACAACCCTGCACAGCTTGTGTTTGTCCCAACACAAATCTCTGCTGTTATTTGGCGACACCGCCCCATAAATCCAGGCCTGACCCAGCTGCGAGAGATTTTGCACCGCAAAATTTCCCTTCCCTGGGTGCCAGGGAAGGGAAAACCCACTCAACCCTCATGCAGCACTGCTAAACAAACCACTGGACAGTCCTTCTCATTCCTTCTTCTCTCCCTCTTTTCCCTCGCCAAAAGCAAATGTGATAAACGGAGAACCAGACAATGACACCGCTGTTCAGCTGCCGCCTTATCAGCGCAGGAAATTGTCTCTTTCTTTAGATCCTCTGTTATTGCTATTTCTGTAATCCGCTGGGATCGGCAGGGATAAGAGGTTCTTTTGAGAAAAGGCTTGGGGGACTTGTTATAATAAGATGCCACCTCCATGCAAAGTTGTAGGCACGAGGTAAAGCAAAATAAAATAAAAATAGGGATTTTTATCCAGCTCCCCCAGACCACGAGGCAGCCTTGCCCGCAGGCTCCGATGGGATCGGGGCAGAGGTGCTGAGCGGTGTTTGGACCTATGGGTCTGCCCCACAGCATCCTCAGGACTCGAGTTAAACTCCAGATGTACTCTATGGGGAGAAAAGCAGCCCGGCCAATACTCTTGGCTTTTCTTTTCCCAGGTGTGCTGACCTTCCACGGAGCCCAGCACCAGGGTGAAGGCTAGTGGATCCCTCCCCGCAGTGACCTGAGGATGCCTCATCGAGCATCCTGGGCAGCACCCGCACCACCGTGAGGCGATGCCAATACCAACACCCCCAGTTTGCATCCCAAGGACATGCTCAGAGCCAGATCCTCTGTGCAGGCTGCACAATGACACCTTTTTGACCTTTTTTCTCCCCAAGACTGCAAACCAGCAGCTAAAGCATCGAGGCAGCACCAAGCACCCATTCCTCCGGCTGCTCCTCTGAGCGCATCCCTCATCCTTCAGCCACAGCCTGGAGACGCTCAGAGCTCCCATCTCACGCCGGCGTGGCCGAGCCGAAACACCGCCAGCCCCTCCCGGGATTGCTCAGCGGACGCCGTGGCAGCAGCAGGCTTTTTGAAAGAGAGCCGTGTCCAAGGGGAGTTGGGAACATCACTTTTTCCGTCTCTAATCAGCTTGTTAGCAGCCTAATAACAGAGAAGCCCTGCACATTACAAGCCCCCGAAGTGAGGCACAGCTTATTGTGGAATTGCTGCTTGACAGCCAGCTTTCGGCAGCCCTAAATTATCCCATGACAAGCTGCAGTGAAGAGGTGAGCAACCTTGCACATAATCTACAATCATTATCATTTCCATCTTTATTACCCACAGTATGCCGAGCACATTAAGGAGGCTTTAAGGGAGCTTTTGTTTTGCAATAATTTCTTAAAAAACCTGCTTTCTTGTTAGTATCTCCCCTGCCATCTCATCAAAATGGAAATGCTGCAAAAGGCTCCATTTATTTCCTTTAATTCTCCTTCACACTTCCAGCCAGCGCGGGCTGGCTTGGCAGAGGCTTTTTGGTTGCGCCAAGGTTAAAGTGCCTGTGCAGAGCCGGCCTCCTCGAGCCCCAGGGTTTGATGCTCCGAGCAGCTCTCCAGGACACGTGGGAAGCTCTGGTGTCCACAGCAAAAGATCTCCTGGGCTTTCCCAGCAAACCACCCCCAGCCCTTCTGCAATAGGTGTTTCCAAAAGCCGTGGCGCCGGCAGCTCCGCATCATGGGGGGCACGCCTGGGGGAAACCATCCCAGTTGTGAAGGGTCCAGAGAGGGAATCCGGGCACTGGGTCACCCCGGGGATTTCCAGGCAATAGTAACACCGAAGTTCATTTGTCACAGGCAGCTCTGGGCTGGCAGGCGTGAGCTGTTTGCATTTAACATAAATGCGATTCTTGTTTTGGCTGGCAGGCAAAGGAGATTTGGGTCTCATTCATGAGATTTTTTTCCTTCTTTGTTCTCCCTCCCTCTCACTTGAGCACAGAACTTCACCCGGGCTGGCCTTGGTCCCGCGGGTACCGGCACTGGGACCACCCTCCAGGAGCCGAGGACGGGGAGGAGGACAGACAGACAGTCTGTTTTGCCGCAGCCCAGCCGAGCAATCAGTCGTCAGTGCCACGTTGCCAAACACACAGGTGTTAATTAAAATCACAGCGAAACCCTAATCGAGCAAGAAGCTTCAAGCTGCCACAAGCCCCAGCAAGGGAGGGGACGTGCCGAGGGGCTGCTCTGCTCCCTCTGCTTTGCCCTTGCCCCCCCCGCTCCCAGCTCTCGGGGATTTCAGAGGGCAGCTCCATCTCTCAGGTCTCCATCACTGACTGGGCAGCAGGAAAAGATGCTGGCTGGGCAGCGCCCAGTCCCTTATCCATGCAGAAATGGTACTTGTGACACCAGGGACCTGGGTCTGCCCTGGGGACTCATCCTTCCCCAGCTCACACGGCAGCAGCCTGCTGCTACCCTGTCCGGAGAGTGGGCACAGAAATCCAGAGGAAATGCAACGGAAAATTCTCTGCTCCCCAGTAGAACAACAGGTTTGCAAACCAACTCATCCCACCACGATTCCCAAGCCGGCTGGCCCACAGAGAAGCACCCCTCCTTGCTTAGGACAGGTCAGCCTCTCTCAGCCCCCTTCCTTGCAGCCCACGGGGCCACCAGCCAGACCTCTCCCCTCCTCCCTTACCTTTTCTGCCGACTGCGATGTCCCAAAAAATATAGGGATGAAGGCTAACCACACAATGCAAGTAGTGTACATGGTGAACCCAATGGGTTTGGCTTCGTTAAAGGTCTCCGGGACCCCGCGGGTCTTAATAGCATACACAGTGCAGGTGACCATGAGAAGCATGCTGTACCCAAGCAAACAGATGAGGGAGAGGTCCGAAATGTCACATTTGAGGATGCCCCGGGCAAAGTGGGGGTTTGTAGTCCGCTGGTCCTCGTAGTCAATGACAGAGTGGGACGGGTCCACGATGAACCAGATGCAGACGCCCACGAGCTGCAGCGAGATGAGGCTGAAGGTGATGACCAGCTGGGAAGCAGGGCTGATGAACCGGGGGGCACTCACCGACTTCTTGCCCTGCTCGAAGATGCGGTAGATGCGGTTGGTCTTGGTGAGCAGGGCAGCGTAGCTGATGCTCATGCCGAGCCCGAGGAAGATGCGTCGCAAGGAGCACGTGCTCAGGTCAGGCTCGGCGATCATGAGGAAGGTGGTGGCGTAGCAGAGGAAGATGCCTGTCAGCAGGACATAGCTCAGCTCCCGCCCCGACGCCTTGACGATGGGCGTATCGTTGTAGCGCACGAAGGTGATCACCACAAAGAGGGTGGCAATGATGCCCACGATGGCAATGAAGACTGGGACCACGGCCCAGGGCGAGCTCCACTCCAGCTTGATGATGGGGATGGGGGTGCAGCTGGTGTGGTTCTCGTTGGGCCGCTCGTTGAAGTGGCACCGCTTGCAGTGGAACTCGTCCAGCTGGTACTGGTAGCCGTCGCAGCGCTCGCAGTGCCAGCAGCAGGGAATGCCCTTCACCAACTTCTTCCTCTCGCCCGGCTTGCAGGGCAGGCTGCAGATGGAGCTGGGGAGCTGGCTCCCACCCCCAGGCCACAGCATGCTCTCCACCTGCGGGGTGAGACCACAACAGCCCCGGTGGCACTCGAGGTGGGCATCTGCCGAGCATCCCTGGGGCACGGGGGGCTGCTCCCTCTCTGCTCGCGGCAGTGTTGCTCAGATCCAGCCCCTCACCCCACCAGTACACCCCATGGAGGACCCCAGCCCTACCCAGCATGGGGACAGGGAGGCGGTGAAGCTCTCCGTCGTCTTTTTGGGAAGATTCAACACCAGAAACCCAAACCAAAGTCCTTCCTCCCCTGGGAAAACCCTCTCTATGCCCAGAGCCTGGGGGATACGGTCCCACACACTGGTGGTGGGTCACCATGGCTGAACCACAAGTGAGTACTCAGGAGACATCCTCCCCCACCAAAGTCTGGCTGCCTAACTTTGCACCCATAGGCTCCCTGGCTCCCAGTCGGGTTTGCTACACTCTACATGGCCTCGATGGGTGCAGGAGAAATCTGCAGGACCTTCCCCTTGGCACGGACCGTGCACGACCATGCTGCAGGCACCAGCCAGCCCCCAGCCATACTTTTAGGTGGAGGTGGTCGGTCCATTGCCCGATGACTTTGTACTCAGGAGTGGAGTTCCGGATCTGGTACTGGTAGATGTCGTAACGCCCTGGCGCGTCTCCGTTCTCGTTGAACGTCACGGGAGTCCCAGCAATGCCTGCAAGAGAGGGAGGGCTCAGCAGCCGCAGCACTGGGTGCACGCGGTGATGGTGTCAAAGGGGGGCTCTGGTTTGACGCTTCCCCCTTGGGGTGGGGTTTCTCCTTGCTGGGAGTGCTGCAAGCTGCCAGGACGATGCCAGCACGGGCACAGGGTGGAGGAAGCAACTGAGGAAAAGAAAACCAACCCCAAACCTGAGCTGGTGCAGGGACCCTATGGCATCAACCCCCCCAGGAGCCAGAGCTCACTGAGCGCTGCCAGACACCGAGCACTGCTACACCAGCCGGTTTAAGAACGGGGCAGAAAGCAGCTTTAAAGCTAAATCGAGTGAACTGTGCAGATAAACACTAATGAAAGGAAGGAAGAGAAAAATCAAGCAAGAGGGAAAAATAAATAAAGGAGACACTGCAGAGGAGATCAGAGAGTGGAGACAAATAGAAGTAATAAGGAGGACAAGACAGAAAATGTTTACTAAGGAGATAGGGCAGAGGAAAAGATGCGTTTCCAGAGATCTGAAGACAGACAAGGGCAGAGCAGCATGATGCAAGGGGACCTCTGCCAGGCACGATGCGAGGAGGGAGCGGGCGAGGGGAGAGGCCGGGGGACACGGGGCAGGCAGGACGGCAGGGTGCAGGCAGGATTGCTGCCGGGTTACTCTCCAAAGGCTCCCAGCAGACGTGGCAGTTTGGACCTCCTCATCTGTTGATCTGCTGTAAATAAAACCACCCCGTCTTTGCGCCCTGCCTTTGCAGTGCAGCGGGTGCTGCATGGAATCATGCCCCATTTCATAATCAATAAATTGTGGGTGCTGCAGAGAAAGGGAGAACCCGGGACACCCAGCCCACCAGCCTGGGGACGGACAGACCTGAGAAGTTGACGCTGCGGATGTACTTGAGCAGCTCCACGCCGTCCACCGGGTCCATCCTGGGGCACAGCCCCACCTTGCCAGGGCAGAGGTTCTTGTGCATGTTGTGGAGAGCGTGCCCCATGGCGTAGACAGCGTCGATGACAAACTGGACCTTGCCCTCCTGCTCGTACGAGGAGTCCTGGCCGATCCGCTCCCGGTCTGCAGGCACACGTAAAGCGGGGCTGCCATCTCCCTGCCGTCCCAGCCGTGCCCCGCGGGGATATTTCTGCTGCAGCCGAACCCTTGCAAACCAACCCACTCATCCCCAGGACTGAAGCAGCCAGAAACTCCAACCCCATTCCCAAAATCACAAAGCCCATCAGCCAGCCAAGCATCTCTTTCCCAGTGGGAAGCTTATGCTACCGAGGCACGCCCCAGGCAGGAGCAGCAGGGCAGAAATGCATCTTGGACAACCCCAAACTCCTCCCAGAACAAAACCCACGTTGCTGATGTATTTCACAGTGCCAAACCAAGGCATCGGCTGCATCCGCACTGCCAGGGCTTGGGGCTGGAGCCTCTCCCCCAGCCGAAAGCCCTCCCATTGCCTGCGTGTCCCTTGTCTGGAGGGGTCAGGAGGGACAGCTGGAGGGATGCTGTGGCTCCCACCCCACCGACCCCTCTGAGCATCACCCCAGGAAGGTTTGAGGTTCACCAGCTGGCTTCTGTGGACGGGAGGAGGGTGACGTGCAGCCACGAAACACATTCACTGGGGAAATATCCAACCAACCTCCCTATAATGTAGTTCTGAAAATGTGGGTGCTGGCACCTATCTGTGCTTCCAAGAGACCTCAGGGTGTCACATCCCAGTGCCATGGGACATCCCCGTACTCCCAGGTCCCGCAATAAGATACGGGCTGGGCTGTGATCCCATCCTCACCCCCACGGGCTGACCTCCTTCACCTTGCCAGGAGCTCACACCAGCTCAGTCTCCATCAGCGGCACCAAAGGGCCACCCAGGCAGCGTCCATCCCTGGCCGCAGGTCCTCCTTCTCATTCCCGAAGCCTCCTGTCACCCTGCTCCACTCGTCACCCCATGTCACCCTCCCACCCCGCTGACCCCAAAGCCCTTCGCAGCCTCCCCACCCATCCCAGTTTGCAGGATCCTGCAAGGATCTAGCGATGGCTGCCTGCCTCTCCTGTCATAACCACCCTTAATGGGGCTAGAAACATGTTAATCATTTAGCAAAAGACACCGATTAATCTAGCACACTGTTAATTACAGCTAAGAAAGCATCTCCCATGGGGCGACGCCGCATCGGAGAGCCACGGCCTCTGCACCTCCATCACCGCCTCTGCGGCACGGCCGGGCACCCCGCCAGGCCACAGCTCTTACAGCAACAGCGAAAGGGAAAGAAGGGTTTCTCGGTTTCTCAGCAAGCCTTCATCCTCCGGAGAGGCAGAGGCATCCTAGAAAGCCATCCCAGGGTGTCCAAAATTAATTCTGGCTCCAACATGCACGGATGCTCCCTGATGCCAGGGATTTAGGGTGACTCCAGGGAACCAGGACACACAGCCTGTGCTGATGGGGACAGAACCCCCTCCTTCCCCGCCGCGGGAAGGTGAGACAAAGCCAGCGCTGGATGCGGAGCAAATCTCCGTCGAGCAGGGACGGCCCTGAGAGCCATGCGCCCGGAGGGCCCTGCGCCGGGACGGAGTGAAACGTGCCACTGACAAGACACTAAAGCAAATTGATAGCGAACTGACCAGCAAGAAAAGATGATATCAAGGAGGTGAATTTATAGCCCATCCTTCAAAGTTATAAAAATGCTTTTGGACTGCGTGGAGATTACTCATGCGAAGCCCGTCAAGTTATCCTTTCTTCCACATTATTGACAAGGGCTATTAATCTTCTCCCTCAGCTTTGGGCCTCTCCCCGCGTTCATCTCTCCAGGCACAGACAAGCCACTCTATCTTGTCAAGATAATTACCCATTAAAAAAAAGGGTGTAATAAACTGTCCAAGGGAGCTGAGCCCGCGGCGATGCCGCAGCCCCACTGCCACCCCCGGCACTGTCCTGCCAAGGCTGCTGAGCCCAGAGGACACACGGGACCCAGGACCCATCCCTTCCCAGCTCCTCGGCTTCCAAGCAGGCACCCCAAGTCCCACATGAGTCCCAGCAACTAAAATACAACACGCCACGATCGCACAGGCTGCAGAGCCTGGATTTTCCTCCCAAAAGTCCCTCTGGCTCGCAGCGAGCCGCGTCAGCCCAGCGCGGTGGGAGAAGCCAGCTCCAGTGCCAAAGCTCAGCTGACTAAAGGAAGGAGGTCAGCTAAGCAGACTTCTCTGGGGCCGTCCGTCGGGCACCTTGCCCCAGGTGCTTTTTCCTAACGGGAACTGGGCTGGTGCACAGAGGGGTCAACGCGGAGCAGAAAGCCAAGGCTCATTCCTGACATGGAGACAATAAATCTCCGCCAAACTCGCAGTCGATTAGGGCCGCAGAAGGGATGTGACCCCGCTGATTGTAATAGCAGGGTCATGCATCGTTCTACAGGGCTGATAATTAATTTTCAAGAGCGTGATGAGCCTCGGCGGGCACTCCTCGGAGGACGGACGCAGCTATCTTCTCAGGCAGTGGATGAGATGGGATTAGCATCAATTCCCATCACATCGCCGGCTTTCGTCAGGAGTTAATCAAAATCGCTCGGTGCTGCTCCAAAGAGCGGGGGGACGGTGCCGCCTCTGAATCTCCAGCAGCACCCAGCACCCATCGCCGCGTTTTGGGCTGGGTGAGCCCATCCGGGGAGCGGGGTCTATCGCCCCACAAGCGATGCTCACCGCAAACATCCCTCTGCAACGAGGGTTTGAGCTGCCCTCGCAGCGAGGCTGACAGTGCCCTTTTGGGGAGCCGGTGGACCCGAAGGAAAGCTGAGCAGAGCATTGCCAGGAGACCCCTACCCGCTCCAACCCAGCCTCGGTCAACAGGAGCCTTTTATCATCACAACTGCCAGGCGAGCAGTGCAAATCCTCTCCCGTCAGCCTGGCTGGTACACGCTGTGCTGCAAAACAGCCAGTGCCACAAAAGAAAACCAACCCCATGTTAAGAAGAGACTGGAGAGAAGCAAAACAGAAAGGGAGAAGAATATGAAGAATCACAAATAAAGAAGCAAAATCAAATAAAAGCTCCCCTCCCCTCCGCCTACGTTGCTGCTCTGCATCTATCCGCAGCCTGGTTGGGTGGAGGTGAGAGCGCAGAGAAATCCCCAGCCCTGCTTCAAAGCAGAGTTCCCATCCATCCCTGCTAAACGAAGGCCATTAATTAGCCCTCCTGGAAAAACAGTAGCCCGTAGGGCCTGGGAGCATGCTGCAGTCCCCGTGCAGGTCACGGAGGGGGGACACAGCCCTGAGCCATGCCCTGTCCTCCTGCCCTTGCCACCCCATCACCCTGGCAAACCTGGCGCTGCGCTGGCTCCTCCGTCTCCACTCGCAGCACCCCAGCACCTCCTCGTCTGCCTCCACACGTGTGTGAATTATTAACGAAGCGGCAGCTGGCAGGATCCTTTCCAGCCCGGCCAGCGGAGCACTAGCAGGGGCTGGCTCCTCTGCGGGAGCCTGGCCAAGCCCAGAGGGATGGGGACACAGCCTGGTGGAGGGAGCTTGGAGGTGGAGAAGGATGCTGAGGAGATGCTGCTGCCAAAACATCTGGGAGACGGGTCCTGGCCTGATGCTGGCCCAGCAGAACAGTCTGGGGAGGGAGTGCACAGGTCCTGATGGGTGCTACACTGCTGGGGACAACATGAGCAGCTACCAGAAGGAATCATTCCAAAAGCTGCTGCTCACCCCAGCCCTCACCCCTCACCTTCCTCCCAGCTCTCCCGTACATGAACAAGAGCCATGAGTTGTCCTGTTCAGTGGCGGGACCCTTCAGTTTGGTTTTTGGGATGCGAAAGCAAGAAAAGCCAGCATTTCTCTGTGGATGTTGGGCTCTACCCAAACCTGAAGGGAAAGTCAGTACAATTCCCTCTAGGCAACAGCCCCAAACGGGATATCTGCATAAGCCGTGCACAGCAGGAGCGCATGGATCTGCACAGGCAGGTTATTTCCTTCATCATGCGTTACTTCCCCTCTCCATTTATCTGCCAAGCAAATGTTCAGGAGACAATTTATTTGCTGACAAATTCAGATAATTTAAAGACAGTTCCTAGGACATTTGCCATGCCGTGGTTTCAGCTGCCTCCGCTAATACCTTGGCCCTGAAATATTGCTTGTTTAAATGCTACATTACTATGAAGATGAAGAGATCAGCGGTTTGCAGGACCTGCTCATGCACTTCCTGGTGCCAGGGATCTCTTGATACAATTGGGAAAGATGAGGAGCTCTCAGCTACCCAAGGCTCTGGCCACGGGCAAGTCTTCCTGCGTGCCCTTGCTGCTTACCGAGCTCACACCTACGCATTAGCCACAAGGCTACCTGGGGAAGCTGCAGCTCTGGAAAAAGCCCTTGCAGGGCCAGAGAGGTGTCCCCAGATCAACAGCTGAACATCCGGGGAACGCCTGCAAGGGGGAAGACGCGGAAGCACCATCCCTCTTGTCCTCAGCGGTGAAAAGGGGAAATAAAACCCCTTAATGATCAAGCTTCCCAGGCACGGCCAGCTCCATCCACCCACCAGCACGCCACGGCTTCCGCAGACGTCCCTCCCAAGGGGACGGGGCGAACGCGCAAATGTCCCCAAGTCCTGCCACGGTGCAGCCTGCGAGCCGCCGCGTCGTTATCTGTCTTCAGCCGGTGCCAGGCAGGCAGTAAATCTCTCCCATCTCTCAGTAAACATGTCACCTCCTTGAGCCTCCAACCATCACCTCGGCAGCAGCACTGTCAGCAAGACAGATCCCCCGGTTGCCTTGTTTACCGCATTAATCCCTATAAGCCTCTTTTAGCTGGAAATGGCTAAATATGGACAGTGGGGGGGTGAGGAGGGGGCCGGGGGCCTGCGATCGGGCTCTGCCGGGATGAGGTTCCCTGCCCGGAGCGGCGAGGAGCACATCAGCAAAGCAGCTTGCAAGGAGACCTGGGCAGACACCACTCCAGCACGGCCCCGCTCCAGGGACTCCAGGACCCTCCCGAGGGTGCCCGGCAGCACCCTCCCTGCAGGCACAGGCACGCTGCAGCCGCAGACTCAGTGCCAGCCAAGCGAGAGCCAGATCCTGACCCTGCGCTGTCAACTGGCCTCATTTCTCTGCAGCCACCCCAGCTTTTAGCGAGCCAGGAGCTGCTTGCAAGGGAGCAAGGAAGCACCAGTGGCTTCACGCCTTTCATGGGACAACAGTGCTTCTGCCAAGCACACGGTGAGGAACAGACCATTGTCCAAATGCTGCGAAGCGATGCAGAACTCAGCCTCAGATCCCCCAAATCTGGGTGGGCTCGCACCCACGGAAGACCCAGCCAAGAGAAGGGAGATGTGCAGGCAGCGTGCGTGAGAGGGAGCAGCCCTGGGAGCTCGGCACACGCAAACCAAGCAGGCTCCACGCGCTTCCTGGATCACGCACACCGCGTTGGAATGCGCAGAACCACTGTTTCGCAGTGCTCCTCCCCAGTTTTGAGCCAGCGGCCGCCGTCGCGAGGCCAGCAGACACCCGAGTGCCCGCGCAGGCGAGCAGCTCCGCATCGCCCACACTCCCCACGCTGCAGAAGCGCCAGTGTTTCCCCAGCCTTCCCCAAATTCCCACCTGGCTGGGATGCTTAGTCCAAAAAAAACCACAGTCAACAACCAAGACCACCACACATGGAGCATTAATGGCCATGTAGCTGCCTTGAGCTAGGCTGACAGCTCTGGAGCAATAAGGACACGGCTGAGCTGACAGGCCATCAGAGGAAAACAAGCCAAACTTTTCTAACACCGGCCCTGGGCTCTCTGCCATCATCTTTACGTCCCCCTACATCCTGTGCGATGCAGCACCGCGCGCCTGCAGCATCCCACAGCTCTTACTGGTGCACTTCTTGATGCTGCTGCCCTTCTTCAGCGCGTGCCGGCTCAGCTTGCAGTGGAAATTTTCCTCCCAAAACTCAGCGAACCAGATGTTTCGGCGGTTGTTGTCCAGCGTCCTGCTGGAGAAGTAGCGGTCGAAACCTGCCCGGGGAAGAGGGGACGGAGGGGATGAATCTCTGGGATGGCAGAGAGATGCTTAACGTGGCCCAGAACTCCCCAGGCAGAGGTGAAGGAGGGTCTCGTGAGCGATGGGGTCTAGGGACACGTAAGAGTGCGGTGGATTTGTGTCTGAGCTGCCACTTGGGCAAAGCTGCAGGCTGGAAAACCCACCCAGGAAAGACCCCACTGCAAAACACAGAGTCTTTCAGAGCCAAAAGCTTGCAGAGAAGGGGATACTTTTGGGGGGAGCTGAGGGAACCCACCGAGCACAGCCCCTTACCTTTGACAGAGACCCGCTTGGGCAGGATGGTGACGGAGCCCTCGGCCACCTCCTCCAGGTGCAGGACCGGGGAGATCTTGGAGCCCCAGCTGTCCGAGCCCATCCAGATGAAATGTCCCGTCTGGTTTGCCCTCTTGGCCGCCTCCAGCACCCTTCTGCAGAGAAAAGCAACAGGCACCGGCTTCGTGTCCGGCCCTAGGGAAGCGAGGATGCTGGCACGGGGCAGAGCTCAACGCTGCCTGCATCTCCTGCTCCGGGCACTCAGTTGGCACCAGGCACCACGCACAACCCGGCGCACGTGGACACACGAGAGCAAACCACACTGCTCAGCCCCCGCACCCTCCATCCTCCCCAGCCCAGGCACACAGGCTGCTTCTCCCAACTCATTTGCATATTTGCTGACTGGTAATTGAATTTCCCCCTTAATTACCCAACATTAGGAAAAAAAAATAAACACAGATTATGCCGCAGCAAGCAGGAAAAGCAGCAGCACTACAGAGCAGGCGTGTGGTCTCAGCTCCAGTCATCACTGTGAGCCATGGGAGAGAGCCAGCCAGTGCTGCCAGCGCCCAGGCTAGAGCTGAACTGGGCTCTGCTGGGCAGCTGAGCTGCAGTGGGGAGCTGGAGATGCCATCCGTCCCGCTGAGCATCCCTCATCATGGCCAGACACTCAGCCGCACATGCTTGCACGCTGGCACCAGCCACTTCAGAAAAACCGAGTTGGTGGG